AGCTTTGATGATAAAACCAATCAAAATTATATATAACTGTTAATTGATCTGTTGTTACAACCAAGCCTTGAGATGTTGGCCAGGGAAATGCTAGGATTGAAGTCATGTTCACCAGTTAACATTACAAGGCAGTGTTGTTGACAATTATGACATTCATTGACTTTTAATATGATTGAATAAAATAGTGCAATTTGATTGGCTTAGAGGAGAGGTATTTATACTTAATAATGGTATTTCACATTGCACAATTTTGTTCAACCATTTTATAAACAAATAKAGAATTTTTTGTACATGGAWTTTKGGATAAATACCACTTGTGATATTTCAAAATTGTCACAAATTTTGCTTATCTTGAGAATTTTTGTTTGACAATTTGAAATATCATGCGTGGTATCTATCTATACCAAATACCACCACAAAACATGCTATTGCCTTTACAAATATTCATATTTTTTTCTGAGGATAAATAAAAGACACACTTTCTATCAAATGATATTTTTCACAATTTGTATGTATTATTATTTTATTTATGTAATCTTATTTAGTCTTTTTACTAAAATACCTTGAGATGTCGGTCGTTGGTCAGGGAAATGCTAGGATTGAAGTGTTGTTCACCAGTTAAATTACAAGGCAGTGTTGTTGTTTTTTAGCAAAAAAATGTTAGATTTCTCCTTACATGAGCTATTTTTTAAATTATTTAATGTAAAATAATAAGTATTTTAGATTTTATGCAAACATATTGGTGGTGACTAAGAATTACCCAATACATTTTAAAAAGAACAAAAAGAACATAGCTACAGTTTATGGATTCCTTAATTAATATGGTGTATTCTTATTATTATTTCAGGAAGGACAAGAAAGGGAAGATATTGTCATAAAAAATTGTTAGTGGATCGATTTGCACGCACTCAGAGTGTGTACTCTATCGACCACTTTTGTTACTGTTGAATTGAAGTGACGTTCATCGAGTTTTAATATGATTGAATAAAATAGTGCAATTTGTTTGGCTTAGAGGAGAGGTATTTATACTTAATAGTGGTATTTCACATTGCACAATTTTGTTCAACCATTTCATAAACAAATATAGAATTTTTGTACATTGAATTTGGGATAAATACCACTTATGATATTTCAAAATTTTCACAAATTTTGCTTATCTTGAGAATTTTTGTTTGACAATTTGAAATATCATGCGTGGTATCTATGTATCCCAAATACCACTACAAAACATGCTATTGCCTGTACAAATATTCATATTTTTTTCTGAGGATAAATTAAAGACTCACTTTCTATCAAATAATATTTTTCACAATTTGTATGATGTATTATATATTTATGTAATCTTATTTAGTCTTTTTACTAAAATACATTTTTACAAATAGAAGCTATTTCATGTAACAATAGTATATTGATTATTTATCTATAGTTTGCCTTGAATTTGTAATTGCATTTTAAATAAATGTTTACATGAATTCCCAAGTCCAAATATCTCTATTTAAGGACAAAAT